GTTTCTTCAGGATCGAACCAACCGTCTTGAAGGGTTTATGAAGTGTACTGCATATGGTGGTTGTGTTCAAAAAGTCTGTTGAGTTCGCTGCTTACTAAACAACATTTTAAGGAAAAAAAGAACAAGATTTAACGAAAAAAGATTTCTCTGCATCTGGACTAGTCATAAACTAGGTGTGTAATATTTAAATTCATTTTAAGGAACAAGTGTACACCTGAAAAACTCATGATTGTCATTGATATGAGTTCTGATGAGATTAAGAAATCAAAAGGTTTCCGATCAGTTTTGTCGCTATAGTGATGTGCAATGCCATTCATCAAACTATTCAAGACAACCATATAATTATGTTTTCTTCCAATCAAAACTGGCTCTCTACAACACTTTCTGTAGCCTGATAAAATGACTGTAGAGAACATTACTAACAACACTTATTGGATGAGACACAAAACCAATATTCATTAGGTACATGTAACTCCTAGCCTTTGTCAGGTTACGATGACAATTCAGCACTCCTTAAATTAGGAGGCAGGACTGCATTGTATAGAGTGGTGTGCATAAGACATACAGGTGGTGTGAGGCTCCAGAAAATATCAATACCCACACCAAAGAAGGTCACAGAAAATTCTGAGAGAGAAAGAGGTCTCAAAAGCCAAAGACAAAATTAAATAAAAGAAAGCATGAATTTTCTGGCAGAAGGGTTCAAACCAAAAAGCCTTCCATGACAGGGTATAGTCATACAACAACACAATATGATAAAATGTTCTTGTTACCTTGGGTCTTAATGGACTAGCTACATCATCAATGCCTGCACCTGATGAACTGTCAGATGGCTGCACTTCAGCCTGGCAGCTGAAACACCACATGTTTAAATCTCTCAGGTGTAAGCACAAGGGATGGCTGGTTTCCTAATAATTACAGAAGAGAAAAATGTTAGAACAAAGCGTATTCTTAGTACTATGTTGCAACAGAGCAACAACAAAGTTCCAGGTTTGAAAACATGATTGATCGTTACTGTTATACACAACTTATTATAAGCAGTTGTGAAATTAAAGGCTGACTTTAATTTCACAACAGCTTAAGTTGTGTGTACATGTACAACTGCAAAGATCAATCGTGTCTTCATATCTTTCTCCACAGTTCAAATATATGATCTTTCATATATTCACTCCTAAAGTTCCAGATTAGTACACATATACATGTGTGCAGCTGAAGCTGTATTTACTGGTTCTCACAGACAAAAATAAAAAATCAATGAGAAACTATTCATTTAAGATTCAGAGAAAATTGCTGGAAAAGTTAGAGCAACCAGTGTCAAGCCCTGTGCTTGATCATATTTCCTTAGTGTACACGCTTGATGTATGATGTGGCATGACATTGCTTGCGAAATGAACTA